GCATTTTTTCCATCCACTACTTTGTCTATAGCATGATCATGTCCGTAATTTTTTCTATATTTCGAAGCCAGTACAGGGACTTCCATGCTAAAAATAAAAAAAAATTGTGCCGGAAGTTCTACTATGGAGCTGATCATAGTATAATTTGAAACAACAAATACTTACATCCTCCAATCAAGATCTACAAATTCTTGTAACGCTCTTGAAAAGAAACGATGGCCAAATTCAGCCCAGTAATGGTGTTCATTAATATTAGATGCATTAACATCGGGAATAGGTTTTGCGAATGACTCAATTCTGCAATAAAGTATTAGTTATAATAGGCGATATGATAAAACATCCCAATCAATACTTACAATGGAAGCATAACTCGATTTAAATAATCCTTAAGTTTTGTCATCTCCTCAGTATCATCCTTTTTTACAACATTCAACTCCTTTGTAGCATGGATCCAATCAGATACACTTTTTTTTTACCCATTCTCAGTTGCCCCCTGTAAAATAATATGATCGATCAATAAATAATTCTTGTGAATAATAAACACAAATTATAGGATTCTATATTACCTTATAATATTCTTCAATAATATTACGCCAGTCTTCCGGTAATTTAACTTTTCTGCTTGGTTTTTTTGATAGTAATTTTATAAATTGATCGATTGACAAAAATTTCGCAAAACCACTTTCTCCTCGAATATCCATTACGTCATCGTTAGCACAACTATAAATGAGAAGATATTAACCATAATATTATAAGATGCATCTTAAAACAGTTCAAACACCCACGAATATGTATTAATTTCTTCTGATTCTTTATATTTTACAAAAAGAGGAATAAATTCGCCGAGATACTGCTCAATGAAAACGATTGATTGAGTATTTACGATATACACAAAAAAATTAGTTAAAATAACATCATCAAATACCTTGGATTCATCTAGATTCGCTAAGTTTTTAGCAGACATTATTAGAATATTTTCATTGATCGATAATTCTTGGTTGTATTTATTTCTATCAATTTGATGAGGAGGAGTGTGTGGTCTATTGTACCCAGAGCTATTAGCTTCGTCTGTACCACTAGTCGTCATTTCTGAGCTAGACCCTACATTTTCTGAACTCGATAATGATGGTTCTGGTGAGGTTATTGCTTCTCCTAGTGTCCCTCTTTGTACTACTCCTGTTGATGATGATGGCATTTTCTTCGTGGTTTTGGCCTATTCACGCAAAAATAATAGAAAATTTTGAGAAAATTTCACGGTAACAAATCCTTATGATCATAGGGATAAAAGTTATTGCATAAGATTCAAGGCAACATAAGGTCTTATCAATAACCTAACCTTTTTCGGAAGAGATAACTGCTTATTCCGCTTTGGTTGACGGACAGACATGAAATCATCATCGGACTAAATACAAAAAGAAAAAGTTAGTTTCTATTGGACAATCATTTCCAGCTAAAAAAAAAAATACCTCTTGGTCTTCATAAGGGGATTTCGTAAGTCTACCATCTTCAGTATTATTGCCAACTCCAAGGTCTATTTAACGTATAAAAAAATCAACTGAGTCAACAAAGGGAAATAATAAGGAGCTGTAAATTTAACAATAAATACCTGATTTTAATTGTCTTAGATTATCCCTCTTGCCGAGAACTAAAATATCGCTTGCTTCGTCTTGTATTGTATTAATATGGTCGATCATTCTTTCAGTGCTTTTTATAGTCTTTTCCCTAAGTGAAATTTGATTTTTCTCTTGCCAAAATTCTCGGACCTCTGAAGAACGCTTTTCATCCTAAAAAATAAGAGATAATAATTATAATCAGTCTCATTATTTATATCCAGTCACAGGAGTTATCCAGTGCTTATTTTTAAGCATATAGAGGTGCACCCTCCGACTCGACGGCGGTATTTCGGACTCGACCTAGCACCAGTGTGCCCACCAACTCGATGGCGGGATTATCAGACTCGACCAAACACTTTCTCTAAGCAATATATACAAGAACGATAAAAAATTTTTGATACTTCCCTCGTATGTTGACAGTGCTTGTTCAGCTCTTTCCCTTTTTTCTGCGACACATTTTTATCATTCTTAATTCCGTTCAGAATTATTCCATATTTGCGGTGTGGTTCAGAGCTGTCGCGCAAACTCTTTATCGAGTCAAGGTACTTTAGAAAGTTCAAGAGGCTCCATTCTTCTGACTGATCAAAGAATAACATCACTGAAAAATTTCGTTCCGAATAATTTGTAGAGATAGAAGCGCGTGACATTTGTGTAGATTGATAATCGGTAAGGGCATATGTAGGACGATCACCCGATTTGCATCAATCACGATTGCATATCCCTGTAATAAGGCTACGTACTGTACATTCATGTTAAAACATACAAGACCTAATATGGGTAAACTCTATTAATTAATTATTTAAGAAGCATAAAGCCTTACAATACTACATATAAAAAAGGTGCTAAACTTCGAGAATGCGCCAATCTCGGAATTCCACAATCACGTGGACACCATTTTATGCTTTCCGATATACAAGAATTTAACGCAACCCAACTAAGGTACACCCGTTTTCGTATAATTATATAGGAAAAAAATCTATCGTGTCTACATCGCATCTATATTATAAGACGTAAGAGGAAAATTACATATCTCGGATTTGCTTATCTCGGACCGGGCGATCTTAAATGGTTTATTCATTATAACGAAACTGGAATAGGAAATAAAATTCATAATCGGTGGAAAATACCGAATCAGAGAAATTGGGTTGCACGAAAAATATGTGGAGGTCAATCACTTTTCTTTATTTAGTATAGCGTCGCTAGTGTCTTAATATGCGCAGATTGAACGATCTGATTTTGTATAAGTTTTACCAGTATTGAAATCATAATAATATCCTTCATCATCATCATCATCAGAAAATCCACAGAAGCTCCTATCATCATCTTCGTTGTTGTCATCAGAGAAATCTCCATCCTCACTCTGTGAGTCAGTGTCCCTATCACAAGAATTTTCGTCATCAAAAGGATCCGAATTAAAATATAAAGAACTATCGGGTGCGCTTA